GATGCAGGGAAGGCTCATCTTCAGCGACAAGGTCAGTCTTGTAGCCCATTTCAAAGAACTCTTCTATTTTAAAGTCAAATTCAGGATAAAAAGAGGATATCAAGTGACATTTCCAGAAGTTGGAACCATGTGTCTCTGTAGTCTCATATGGAGTTCTGAGACTCTCAGTCCATGTTAGAGTCTGTGTCTGGATGTGTTTTCTGTCCTTTGCAGTGAAGCCTGAGGCCTGGCTGTCCAGTGGCCCCAGCCCTGGGCCTGGCCGTCTGCTGCTGGTGTGCCATGTGTCTGGCTTCTATCCAAAGCCCGTGTGGGTGATGTGGATGCGAGGTGAACAGGAGCAGCAGGGCACTCAGAGAGGTGACATCCTGCCCAATGGTGATGGGACGTGGAACCTCCGAACACCCTGGATGTGGCAGCTGGGGAGGCGGCTGGCCTGGCCTGCAGGGTGAAGCACAGCAGCCTAAGAGGGCAGGACCTCGTCCTCTACTGGGGTGGTAAGAGTGGGACCCAGCTGGTGTTAGTGGGAGGTCCCCTATCAGAGCATGAGGCCAGATATAAAATTTGGCATTTTTAATAATTCCAGTCTCAAAAAAGAAGACAAATATTTTAATCCAAGGAATAGAAAAATTAAAAATTAAAGATCTGTAGATGCAGAAATATGTAGAATGAACGAAGGATTCATCTCTTAAAAGGGATGAGATAAAGCTAGGAAGAATGATTGGTGAGGAAGAAACTCAAAATAGTGCAGTTGAACAGGACAAATAGGGAGTTAAACATGGGGTAAAACAGGGGATACACTTGCAACAATGTCCTGGTGTCCCCTTGAATCTGCAGCACCTCCTAGTGCCCTGGGCTGGATCCTCTTGGCCGTGATAGTGGCCCTGGCTCTTCTGACAGGTCTTGGATTTTGGTTTAGGAAGCGCTGGTGAGTTTTGTATTCATCTCTTCTGTTCATCCCTCCTCCCCATGGTCTTCCCTTCTTCTTTTTCTCTTTACTCACTTTCCCACTCCTCCCAAATCCACACCCACTTTCTCCTCTATTCTCGCCTCCACCTTATGAAGGTCTGTTATTTCTCTGTTCTCATTTGGTTCACGTAGGACACACCGTGAAGCTCCTTGCAGTGCTGTCCCTTTGAAGTGAGGACCCAGCTCCCCAGGTGCCCAGTCTATACCTAAACACCAGGAGGTGATGACATCACTTCAACTGTCCTTGTGAAGCCTTTGTAATTTATCTGGTTCATGATCAGTTACCAATATATGCTCAATGTAATCTTGCAGGATCTGATGTTCAGACCTGGCTTCTGGGACTTTAACTCTGAATTGAAGAGGATCCTAGCAAGCTCCACTTGTTTAGATGTAATGGATCACCAGATGCATTTCAGATGTCACATCCTCCAGAGGTCCTTACTTGATTCACAGTGGGAAGCACTCTCTCCTCCATCTGTGCTTCCTCACATTTCAAGTGTACCCCTCACTGTCTAGCGTGTGTGGCAGTTGTGTAGATTTGGTTTTAATTTTCAATTTTTAAAAGATTGAGAGCAAAGCACATGCTTTTTAAGTATTTGTATCCCTGGTGAAGTATCTGGCCTTCATGTAGTGTGTTCTCAATTAATACCTGTGTTGAATTTATGTAAGGTTTATACCACAAACTATAAGTAATCTGCATAACCATCTCCTCTGTCAAAGATTTTCTCTTTTTCTCTCATTCTGGTCACTTTCCACCTATTTTCTCTCTTGACTTTCTCCTACAGTGTTGCTCTCTCTCAGCTCCCCCAGCTCTCAGCACCCCCCAGACAGCTCCCAGTGGTCCCCGTCCTTTCCTCTCTCCTCCTCAGACAATGTCTTTCACCCTCCACAGCTGAAAGTTCACTCATTGGTGCAGTGGACTGGGGAGCTGCAGATCCTCAGTGGGACTCTGACCCAAGCACCAGCTGCTACCTGCATCCTCATCAGGAGCCTCTCTGCCAGGGGAAAGTTGAGGGGAGGAAACTTTGAATTCTTCTTCCACTCCCTTTTATGCTTCCATTGTTATATTTTAGGTATGAGGCATTTCCCAAGTGCTCATGTGTGAGACAGTGCAAGAAGGGTTGGAGGCGAAGTGACACGGTCTTGAGAGCCTTAACCCAATCAGCACATAAATCCCCAGATAGGAACTTATTGAGTGGTAGCTGTGGGCTGGTAGGTGTGGCTGGGGAGGTGGATTCCTGGGGGCATGGCTTTGGGGTATATATTTTGTCCTCGATGAGTGAAGCTCTCTCTCCTTTTTCTTCTTGCTGGCCATGTTCAGACCTGCTTTCTTCTACCACACTCTTCTGTCATGAGGTCCTGCCTCACCTTGGCCCATGGGAAGTGAAGTTGGCCATCAGTGGATGAAGAACTCTGAAACTGTGAGACCCAAAATAAACTTTTCCTTCTTAAAATTGTTCTTTTCAGGTCCTTTGCTTACAGAAGCAAAAACACTCTCAAAGAACCTACCCCTCTTTCTCCTTTTCCTGCATTATTATATCTTCAGTTTCTCTTATCAGTTCACAACAATTTGGTCCTAAAACCTCATTCATTATTTAGTTAATTTCCTTCCCTTTCTTTCCTATAAAAAAACCAACTATCTTCTTCTTGCTTTCCACACCCCACACTCAAGAGCAGCAGTCAGATATTTTTTGCAATCCAGGGAAAAATGAAAATGTGAAGCCTTTTCTTAGTCATTCTAGCTGCTATTACAGCATGCCATAGACTGGGCAATTTATAACCACTAAGAAATTATTTTTCACATTTCTGGAGTCTGGACAGTTCAAGATCAAGGTATGTTTGGTTTGTAGTTGGACCTAAATTTTAATTCATCAAAGGCACTTTCAGAATGTTTATATACTGTGGAAGGGTTATTCGATCTCTCTGGGGTCCCTTGTATAAATAAGGCACTGATCTCATTTCTGAGGGGTGGAACAACATGACCTAATCACTCATCAAAGGCCCCACCTCCTAATATCATCACTTGGGTGTTTAGGATTTCAGTATATGAATTTATGGAAGACATACAGACTCAGGTCATAGCAGGTTTGTGTTCAAAATACTCTTCCAGGGTGTGCTCTTAAACGTAATAACATACAAAACTGTTTTATTTCTATGGAAGCTTATGTCTCTAAGCTTTTATTTAGTTTCCTAATTTTGCAACCCTTGGGCACAGGGATACTCACAGGATGATTGTAGGAACTCTTAGGCACCTAGGAATTCCCCTCCATGACTTCATGAAATCTACCCACTGGCTGCCTGGTTCCTGCTGCCCTAGATATTTGAATGATCTTTGCCTTTGCTGGACTGAAGGGGGAAGTTAATCTCTCTTTCTTCAATGGTTACTCCAACACTTGGCACATGGGTAACCACTGAGAAATTGGAACCAAATTATGTGGAGATGCATGTGGTTCTTGGAATAAGAGTGGGCAAGAGGCTCACTGTGACCAGTTACAAAGCAACTTGGTACAGACATTGGATGGGACTGCTGCACCTATATTTGGCCCACACACTATTGGGTGTATGTCCCATTCTCCTTTGTGCCTACAAGACATGAGATAATGACAGGGGCTGATGACGTGGTCAGTGCAGTGGTGGCAGGTTGGAGGTGGAGAGGCAGATTACAGAGTTGCCAAGGCCTCAGAGAATGGGAAGCAGGTGGAATAGTGCTGAGCATGCAGGCGAGGTTGTGGGGGGAAGAACCCTTCATAAGCTGGGGAGGCAGCTATAAACGCTCATGCAAGTTTCATTGAACTTCACTTATGAAACACAAATTCGATAAAATTACTATGAAATTCAAGGTGCTAATCATGGAATTTTGAGTGCATTACTGGAGTGGCTCCATGCCTCACAGAGCCATCCATTCCTGGATACATGATCCATAGACTCAGTAGGTGACACTGTGTTTCAGAGGACAATCATAGGGGCTTCTGAAAAAGGAAATAAAGTAAGTGGTGATGTCAGAGATATGAATGAGGTGGAGTGGGGGGTGGGGCAGGGACATGGAAACACATGGGGGAAAAGAGCACATGGGGGAATAATTCAAAGTTATTACAATAAGAGAAAATGCTTAAGATCCTGGGTTTCCATTCCTAGCAATAAAAGAAGTGACCCTTGTTGTAAAGTATTTTTTAATGTCACAGAAGACTTGTTCTATAGCGGTTGAAATAGGGGAAGATGAACTGGATGGAAGTTTGTGACAATGAGAGAAGTTGGAAGACTGAGCAGAGAGTCAGAATAGCTGGGGGAGGGGGAAACTGAGTAGGTGCTCAGGGATTTGGGAGGAAGCAGATTGTCTTTGTTTCAGGCAGAAAAGTTTTGTCTTTTGGTTGAATAAGGAGGTCAGAAGAGAGGTCTCTGAGGTAGGTTTATTTAGAACAGAAATCTGCTGTGGTTCTGGTCAATTAGTTGCTCAGCTACTTTGTTGCAGGGGGTGGGGGGAAGGGGAGTAGAACGTGGAAGCAACACACACACACACTCCAGGATCCGGTGAGAGAACTGGCTGGAGACCCACCTCAGGTCATCATCCAGTACCTCATTTATTTTTGGAATGCATACAATTGTTATAGGGTTCCAGTGGGGCATGCCCATCAATACATAAGCCAATCATCTTATGCCTAATGTAACCACATTATGAGGATGCTCTAAATATTGCTCTCATCAAGAAGGGTCTTTGTCCCTAGGGGAGGAGATTCTATGTTAGGAGTTCCATGTCAAAGCTCCTGGCTATAAGTTTCCTGGCCTGGCAACTTGGCAACGCTAACCACAAGTGCTAAGGATGTGGTTTCACTAACGGCTTGCTAGAGCAGAGCATCCCATCCTGCAGGCGTTCCTATCAGGCCTGAATGAGTGTAGATTCTTCAAGCACTCCGAGCAGCTCATAGCGGCTAGCTGCTAGCTGTAAACTGAAAGTTATTCCAACAGGGGTAGACTTATTTAGAACAGAAATCAAAGGCCAACTTCTCTCAGAGAAAAAAGTAGCATCTGCAAGGGCCATGCTATTTCTGCTACTCCCCTTGCTCGCTGCTCTCTTCCTAGGAGGTGACAGTGGTAAGAACTGGGGCAACTGACTAATTGTGTGTGAGTGTGTGTGTGTGTGTGGGAGGGGGTGTGGTGATGGTAGTTTCCCCTGCACACACTTAGAGAGAACGAGTGCCAAGCTGGCCCCATTCTGCATGTTCTTACTCAAGCCCTCTGTGCTCTCATGGAGGATGTTTGTAGAGCATGGGACCCTGGGGGCCAGCGGATGTCAGCTAAGGTAACTGTGGCTCTCCACTTTTCCAGATTCTGAGTCTTCCTACCAGGGCACCTACTTTCCCAAGTCTTTTCCTTCCAATGTTTCGTTTCCACCTATTCTATCTATTCTTTTGCTACAGGGTTTGAGAAGCCTGTCTCCTTTCATGTCATCCAGACAACATCATTTTGCAATCATTCCTGGGTACACCTGGGCTCAGGCTGGTTGGGTGAGCTGCAGACTCACAGATGGAACATCAGGTCTGGTTCCATCATTTACCTGTATCCCTGGTCCAGGGGCAACTTCAGTAACAAGGAGTTGATGGATCTGGAAAGGTTGTTCCAGTTATATTTCAGTGAACATCAGGAATTTTACATTTTTCAATTAATGTTTAAAGGTGCGTTCACTTCCCCTGTTGGGGAGAATAAAAGGATGAGGGTGGGGCATCTCAGTGAACTTTTATTCCTTAGGGAAACAGCCTCCTCTGCTCTGAATCTTACTCCACGCTCTTCAGTATAAATCTGCAATCACACCCTGGGCACGTGTGATAAACACAACCAGATTCTTCAAAGACTTCAGTTTTTGCCACTTTTGAATGCTCTCTCATTGGCTGCAGGGCTGAGTTTTACTAACTCTCCTCAGAGGCATCCTGTGGCCACCCTTTTCCCCAGTCTTCAATCAGGTACCTTCAGCTTCCTCACTCATTGGTTGACTCCTTAAAGTGTGATTTTCTCTCCCATTTATTCTCCTCAGTTATTCCTGTCTAAACTGTCAGAGTGACCATGGATGGATACATTCTCCCAGGTTTGTTAGAGTCTCAGCTCTCTCACATTAAGGCCTTTCTCCCCCACACCATCACTATCACTTTCAAACAATTCCCTCCCCTCCTGATAACGTCATCTTTTCCTCCACCTCCAGCTCCTACCAGTGGCCTTTGTGTGAACCTCTGATCAAATCACACTTGGGCTCTTTCTCTGAAACTCCCAAACTCCCTTCTGCTTCTATTGTCTTTTGCTTCCACTCATTCCATTTTCTCTCTTTTCTCCTCTTCTTCCCCAGATACCTTTGATCTACAGGTGACAGCAGGCTGTGAAGTGCACTCTGGGAAGGGCTTCCTAGGCTTCATGCAGGTAGCTATTCAAGGATATTATTTCCTGAGCTTCCAGAATGAAACATGTTCATCCTCTCCCATGAATGGAAGAAAGGCCCAGAAAGCCTGCAATCTACTCAATTTGAATGAAGCCTTCACACATAGGTTACATAGGCTCCTCAGTGACACCTGCCCGCGTTTCACCTTGGGTCTTCTAGATGCAGGGAAGGCTCATCTCCAGCGACAAGGTCAGTCTTGTACCCAATCTGCAAGAATTTTTTCAATTTTAAAGTAAAATTTAGGATAAAAAGAGAAAAGGATAATGTGTGACATTTCCAGAGTGGGAAACATGTGTCTCTGTAGACTTATGGCGAGTTCTAAATTTCTATTCACATTAGAGTCTGTGTCTAGATGCCTTTTCTGTTCTTTGCAGTGAAGCCCGAGGCCTGGCTGTCCAGTGGCCCCAGTCCTGGGCCTGGCCATCTGCTGCTGGTGTGCCATGTGTCTGGCTTCTACCCAAAGCCCGTGTGGGTGATGTGGATGCGAGGTGAGGAGGAGCAGCAGGGCACTCAGAGAGGTGACTTCCTGCCCAATGCTGATGGGACGTGGTATCTCCGAGCAACCCTGGATGTGGCAGCTGGGGAGGTGGCTGGCCTGGCCTGCAGGGTGAAGCACAGCAGCCTAGGAGGGCAGGACCTCGTCCTCTACTGGGGTGGTAAGAGTGGGACCCTGGCTGGAGATGGGGGGATATCTTCTAGGAGAGCATGAGGACCAGGTAAAAAATTGGGATTGACAAATTCCAGACCCAAAAAGAAGAAAAAATATATAATTCAAAGAATGGTTTAATTTAAAATAAGGGCTCTATAGATGCAGATTGCAACATTATCTGGTATTCACTTGAATCTGCAGCATCTCAGACTGCCCTGGGCTTGATCCTCTTGGCTGTGATAGTGGCCCTGGCTCTTCTGACAGGTCTTGGATTTTGGTTTAGGAAACACTGGTGAGTTCTTTGTATTCATCTTTCCTGTTCGTCCCTCCTCCCAATGGTCTTCTCTTCTTTTTAATCTTTTTTTTTTTTCACTTTTTCTTCTCCTCTCAGCCCCATTTCTGTTTTCTCCTCCATTCTCACCTCCACTTTATGAAGGTCTGTTATTTTTTGTTCACTTAGGACCCACTGTGAAGCTCCCTGCATTTCTGGCCCTCTGAAGTGAGGACCCAGCTACCCAGGTGCCCAGTGTACACATGAACACCACAGGGTGATGACATCACTTCTACTCATCTTGTCAAAACTTTGCAATTCATTTCTGCTCCATGATCATTTACCAATATATGCTCAATGTAATCTTGTAGGATTTGTTGTTCTGACCTGGCTTCTGTGGCTTCAACTCTGAATGGAACAGGATGTTAGCAGTGTCAGCCTGGTTGGATAAAATGGATCATCAGATGCATTTCAGATGTCACATCCTCCAAGGATCCTTCCTTGATCCACAGTGGGAAGCCATCTCTCCTCCAGTTGTGCTTCCCCAGATTTCAACTGTACCCCTCACTGCCTAGCATCCATGGTAGGTGTGTAGGTTCATTTCTTTTAAGTTTTTAAAAGCTTGAGAGAAAAGCATATATTTTTTGAGTATCTGTATCCCTGGTGAAATGCCTCACCTGAATATAACATGTTCTCAATAAAACCTGTGTTGGATTCCATAAGGTTTGTTTTTTGTTTGTTTATTTGTTTTTAAATTCTCTGTCTTCCTTATACCTTTGTTGTAGTTGAGATATTGGATGCTCTTCTTGTTTCTTCTTGCTTTTCCAGGAGACTTCATGTTTTCCTAGTTCTATATTTTTTTCTGAGTCTCTGAGGAGAAACACAGTTTTGCCTCTTACCAATTCTGTTATTCAATTTTAGGGAAATATTAGCATAAAACCATTGTTCCAAGGCTCTAAATCAAAAAAAGCAGGGAAGTATGAAGGTCCTCCATATTCAGCGTGGTTTATGGCCAAATAGAAGATTCATTACTTGGGAGTTTGGTAGAAATGTAGACTCTGTGGCCTGGTCTCAGACTTACTGAATTCCAGTTTTCATTTGAACAAAATCATCAGAAGATTCACAGATACATTTAAGGTTGAGAGGCACATCATTGTGGTGATATCTGAAAAATGGCCCAAGTGCATCACTGAGGAGGGAATCAAAAATGAGGAGCCAAAGTGCTGCTCTTGAGGACTGAAATAGGTCCGGGTGGGTGATGTGCATTCTCAGGAGTTATATTCTTTACAGTTGCTGCTGCAAACACTGTTAGTGAACACTGAACCATGCTCCTAGGGTAAATAGAGGGTTAGGTACATTTGAGTTTCGGTTCACAGTACTTTTTGCTACCTGATGAATACATAACCTTGTTTTGTGTATTTTGTTTAAAAATCTTATTTAATATATATTTACAAGTAATTCATTGTATGCCATATTTCCTTGAACAATACAGTTTCTTAGAAGTATTTAACAATTTCCTGATCCTGAATAATGTGATCACAAATTTTCTTGGCATTTAACCTTCCAAGAATGCTGTCTACCATATGTAAAAATATCAGTTGTCATCTCAAGAAACCCCAAATTTTGTTGTTTGTCTTAGCTTTATCATAACATTATAGGTGTTACTTTACAATGTAACTTCACCTAATACTCATCAAATTTTATCTTTATTTGTATTGTTCATTAACACTGTGCATTTTATTGTTCATTAACACTGAACTCACAGCCAACAGCCGTATAACTATAACAAAGCTGATCTGAAACACCTTCTTCCTGTGTAATACACATCACAGCCTTTTTCAGTTTAAGGACATTGGATAGCACTGTGGAGATAGGTTTGGGACCATTTAAATTGACAATATCAGTAACAAAGAGCACAAAGTGTGAAAACCATGGCACTCACTAGGCCACACAGGATGCTCGTCCTGCAGTGAAAAGGGAAACCTGAAGACAGAGCACCACTTTTTTTTTTTTAACTTTCATAGGGAATGTGTTCTTCATTTGACTCCCATTTTGCACCAGTCTGTACATATCTATGAATGACTGCAAAAGCACTGTGAGTATTTAGTTTGGGGTTATGAAAGTTTCCACAGGTAGACAAATGGGAAATTCAGAAATTTTGACCAATAAGGATTGACTGATGACCTTAACTGACATTGACAGTTAATACATTCACAACCAGACTTCAGTTATCTTAAAATCCATAACCTGATGAAACAAACAGTTCTTAGGCACCTACTATACACTTGCTATGCAGCAGGTGCATATTGATTATAAAGTAATGGAAGAAAAAAACAAGATCATCACTGTGTTCTGAGCTTGAAAATTTTGGTTCGGCAATTTATTATTTTCATTTTTTTCTTAGCTTCCTGGAAGAACTTACTTGAGGTGAACTTGGGGATAGGGAGTTAGCCTTATTTTGCTCAGGCAGCTGAGAAGAGGGAACCCAGGGGAAGGGGAACATCTAGAGAGACCTGATGCAGGTGCCAGCACATGGATTTCCTCCTGAAAAATTTATTCCTACATTCACTTGTCTTTCCTCAATTCATCACACATTTATCTTTTATTATTTGTATGGCAAACATATTCCCTGAGAATATTTCCAAAAAAGAGTTAGGCTTGTTTAGATTACAATGCAGTGTGCAGATATTATTTAATGCTGATCAAAACTGTAAAAAAAATATGGGGGAAGTAGCCCAGAGGCAGATAAAATCCTACATTCACAGCAAAGTTTCATCTACAATGCTCCCCACAACAATATGATTTACTTAAAAGTACCAAATGGAGTTTCCCTGTTCATCTTAAAGTAGTGGGTTAAGAAAATTGTCCTAACGAACAAACAGCTGTCACTGCAGGTGAGCATTCTACAGCAGGCACCAGAATGTCAGTTTGGAACAGAGTGAAAAAGAAACTTTCTTTTTGAACACTTACTGATGCTTATGAAAGTTTATATTTCACCACTAGGTGGCATAGAAAGCTAAACAGTTAACCCAGGCTGTGAGGCTGTGGAATATTGAGGCTTTCTTAGGAAAAACAAAAAGATTGATTTTTTAATTTTGTGTACTTGTGTGACAACATAACCTGATAGTAGCAGACACACTGTCTTTGCTGAAGCAACTATGACAGACTCACTGCAGCTGCATTGCCCACCCTCTTACCTTTGCCCCAAGACTTTTCCTGCAATGTGATTGGGACTCCTGAGAGAAGCTACTTAGCATTTGTCAATGGTCAGAACTGCAAGTGTTGGGGTGTAACACCCTGTGGACAATCCTTGACAATTAATGAATGGGAGGTCATGAATATGCACTCTTCTCATTTCTCAGGTAGATATTTCAGAGACAAATCAGTATGGAGAAATTAGAAGCCCCCAGCAAGATCAGATCCCAGTTTTTTGTAGCAGTGACCAGCCTGATAACATCATGTATTGACCTTCCCCTCCTTCCTGTCTTACCCTCCTAAAGTCCCCTCCTGCTACCTGTTATCATGTCCCCAAACAAAGCTTTATCTTTAAAGCTCCCAATGCTGATATAGACTATATGGGTTTTGTCTTCTTTTCTGTTTTAGGATGTGCATTGAAAAGGAAATCCAAGCATGACCCACTACTATCTTCAGCACTCAGAAGTTCAGTGCTTCTTTTTCCAAACAGTAACCTCTTAAAGGCAACCAATATTCTTATCTCTACCACCCTAGATTAGTTTTGATTCCATTTTTTGAATCTCATGTTCAAAAACCTTAATGGTAACTATTATGTTTGTCTTTTCTTTCCACTGAACATTATTTTTGTGACATTTATTCATGTTGTTCCATGTAGCAGTAGTTCAATCTTTTTCCTTGCTGTGTAGTATTTTATCATGTGACTATGCAATACTTTTTCCATTCTGCTGTAAATGGACATTTTATTGTTGCTAGGCTTTTGGTATTTTGAACAATACTGCTTTTAGAATTTTTGTACATATCTTTCCTTTATTTTTGGTGGTGCTGAAGATTTTACCCAGGGGCACTCTACTTGTGAGCTACATCCTCAACTATTTTTAAATTTTATTTTCAAATATGGTTTTGCTAAGTTGCTCAGCATGGCCAGAAACTTGTGATCCTCCTGCCTCAGCCATCCAAATAGCTGGGATCACCTATTTGTGCATGTCTGTATACCATAGGCACTTGTTTCGCTTGGAAATACACATAGAACTGGTATTGCTGGGTCAGAGATAATGTGTATTTTTTAAAAAATTATTTTACATTTTATTTTTACTTATTAACACATAGTAACTGTGCATTGTTGAAGGCATTGCTGCACACGCTGTCTGACAGAGTCACAGTGTGGGGGATGCTGAGGCAGAGCTACACCATGTGGAAACCTGAACAGTGGGGAATGTTAAGTGCTTTATTTATGATACTCATTATATGGATAATAGGGCATATGTTCATCAATAATAAAAATATTTGTTTCCTGAGATTTCAGGAAAATTCCCAGAATGAGACTAAGAATGCAATTAAGTCATGCCATAAGGTGTGTTTCAATATCTCTCAGGATACAAACAATAGTGTTTTTCCTGAAGAGATTCACAGGGAAAAGATTGCAAATCAAGGTTCCTGAGAAAAGCTTAATAATTTATACTAAGCCCCCCATTCTAAAGCCACAACCTGTGCAACATACACTCCCCCCAATAACAGACCCTCCTTTGCCTTACACAGGAATTCATGATGAGTATAGGAAACACATAGTTAATATTAATGACAAATGATTTGAGGTGCAGAGCCTGGCCTTTAGTTAAAGACTACAAAGACATAAGAATTGGTGTGCTGTGACCAAGGATCAAGGAAACTCTGTAAGAAAGCAGTGAATAGGTCATATAAAAAAGGAAATTACCTTGGAAATTAAAAATAAAATAATGTAAAATTAACATAGATATATTTTAGAGGTACATGAGAGTAGTAGGCTTCTAAGTAATAGACTTTCACTATTTTAAGTGTGTTTTACTGGGATTTTAGTTTAGAAGTAAGAAAGCATTCCAATAATCATAGGCATGCTTTAAAGTTAAGGTTAATAAAATAATTATAGGTATGCTTTAAAGTTGTTGTTAATAATAGGTCTGGAGACATGTAATCTAGTTGTGTAGCCTAACTCCTAGTGATTTTTTTTTAGAGGCTAAAGGTGTAGAATACAAAGGAATATTCCTGGTATTTATGTTTTTT